TATTATGTAGCCGCAGCGGGCAATATCTTGTATGTGTGTTTGTTTGTAAAGCTCGCAGGATTCCTCGCAGAGAGGAAATCGAACTGGCATATATTGTATATAAAGTATATAACACTATGGCTAACTTGTTGTTCATTGTCTATTAGTATATGAATGTTGTACAAGATAGAGCCTTAAATCAAATCACCAAATGATAATAATAAAATTTATTTTAATCACCGACAATGAGAGCGACAAATTTCATTGAAACGTGCTAAGCTTGCGCCTGGATTGGGTTTACCTTGACGACTGATTGTCGCCCAATTGATAAAATAAATACATATGTGTAAGTAAATACATATATATGTATATGTGTGTGTGTATATAAGCGATGCTAGGCAGACTCTTGGGGCTGTGGCTGAGTGAGTGCTCAACAATGGAAACGGTGTCACGGCCGGGAATGTGAGCGGGCTTTAAAGGGCGTAAACCGAAAGCCATGCTATACACTTTAAACTGTTGTATGTATGTGTATCTAACTGACACACACACACACACTCAGTGTGAGAGAGAGAGTGGAAGATGAAACGCGAGTCTGTGAGCGCAGCCCTGTGTAATTGGAAGCCGAAAGTGAAAACGCCCAGTCCTTGAATGAGGCTGCAGGCCACGAAGGGTGACACATTTTCCACAAGAAATGAACTTAAAATTGATTTATTATTGCTGCTGCAGCGGTACACGCCCCTCGGGAGGCACAGGCTGAAGCTTAAGCAGCCGCAAAAACGGCTGCAGCTTCGAGTTCATGCCACTCACAAGGACATTTGATTCGAATACGCAGAGCTTTGGTCGCCGCTAACGAGGTGCCAGCATTTAGATTAAGCCTCTAATACAGCTGTGAATACCATCCCCACTGGGTGTGGGTAGGCCCACGCCCAGCCCAGAGGCCCCTTTCGGGCAGCTCAATAGTTAGGTGGCTCGAGGCTGCGTTTGGATGCAAGAGCACGAAGCGTCTATTTGTCTGGCCTAAGGCCCAGGAATCAGCAGCTGCAATGATCATAGCAAAGCTCTAGTTATGAACTAAGCCCCGACACGAGTGCTTCGCTCCTTGTTGATTGACAGATCTACCCGTGGGAGTCCATAAATGCGCTCCTTTCTGCTCCGTCCACAACCTGCCTCGACTGCATTGCAGAGCCCGAGCACAGCTGTTGCTGGCAGCCAGCGTGTGTACATAATTCAATAGGTGCACCAATCAGGGGACGCACTACTGGACTCACTAAGAGGCTTACGGTCAATAGATACATAGGTAGCCATGGCAAACACTAATGCGATTTTATTGCGCAGCGCTTCGCCCGCTGCAGAGGCTCCATTGCTCCCCAGCTCCCCTCTGCAGCTCGGCAGCTATGCAGCTCTATTGCTGCGCGGCGCTGCTCTCGCGCTATGCCGCTCTACTGTTTATTTTGTAATTTTGTTACAACGCACTAATGCAATAGTCTTTGGCAAAATGTTTGCTCTCTCACGGCTAGTTTTCGCTGCCCTTGAAACGGACTGGCAAAGAGCACGGCAGTCAGGCAAAATTAATTTCCGCTAAATGAGTAGCTACAATTAGCGTTCCAATAATGCATGTGTAGAGCCAGTCCACGGCGCACGGCCGTCCGCAGTGGACAGGTGTGCACATATCGCATAGCCACAGACGGGAAGCTCTTCGGATGCTGTTTGGCTCCTGTAATTTCATCTGCCATAAACTAATTACCCCTTTGTGCCCCTAGCTACAGCATATGAGCGCGCATGTGTGCTGCCTGGCAGGACGGTGAGGAAGCCAAGCCATGACCTTGAAATATGCATTGTGGAGGAATGTGGACTGGGCTGCTACAGAAGTGGTTAACTTAATTGGCTCATATGGCTGATAGGTCTATTAGTAAATTATGTCTACCTGCAATGCTGTAGCAGCAGACGTTTAACTACTGAAGAAACGAAGTAGAATGCTTTAGTCGTGAGTTTCCGCCTCAATGATACACTGAAATGGTCTCTGAGGTCTATAAAGTATTTACGCTAAAACTAATAATTAACATTCAATAGTATTTCATCCTCAGCCTACTACATTTTACGTTTTAAGCAGAGTATGATATATATATAAATATATATCAAATATAGCAATCAAGATTCTTCTTCGTTATCGAAGACAATTTCCGGCCAATGAACCTAACGGGGTCATCATATTTGTGTGCCCATTCCATCGAAATACTAGGCAAACAGAACTTAAAACCCACTCGAAAGAGAGCGATACGGCGGTGCGAAGTGGTGCCATATAATAAACATAAACAGCAATGTTAAATTTGCTGCTGCAGCCGACTTCTCGCGTGTTTTGTGATCGCAGAAATCTGCTGCATACTTTCACAGACAATTTTTACAAGCACATTTGCTTACTTACTTACTTCAATTTGTCTTAGACTTTATAGGGCAATTACCGGCATTTCTACAATCATAAGTCTGGGCTTAATTTCTTATTTTATTCCACTTAATAGTATTTCAATATTATTCAATTGCTCTGCGGCTCAGGGGCTTACGTCTGTTGTTATTGATGGCTAGATTGACATGAAAAACAATCAAATCTTTAAATGTTGATGTTTCCGATAATGTTGAGTTCATATACATAGATAAAGAAACAGTCGAACTTTGCTAGAAACTCAGCTCGTCATTTTGATAACTACTATACATATACATATGTACATATAGACCATGTTTCCCTTTTTTAATGGATTCATAAAAGAAGAGAAAAAATGGCATAATGCGTTTACTTTTTATGGAATTATAATATTTCCATGCTGACAAAAATGAATAGTGAGTTTCCATGATTTTTTGTCCAACTGACGCTGAGTGATATTTATGCAGATTCACGCTGTAATTTTAGCCCGACCGGGCAGCACTTAAGCGCAATATACAATTTACACATTTACTGCTGTTGACACTGATATGAACGCCCGCCCGAAATGCCACCTGGAGAGAGGTGGGTCGACGGTGGTCAAGCATTATATTTGCGAATTTACTGCACTCGACACAGAGATTTTCGGTGACCACACGTTGCACCAGGGGGACCACAAGGGCAAGTGGGACAAGGCTATTCCAGGGTAAGTTACTTTTCGAATTTATTATTGATAGAGATCATCGAAGGAGGAGGTCAACTAACTCAACTATCCTCTTGGACATACTTACATATATAGCTCTAAGCCTTGGCGATAGCTCTTGAGAATTGTCAGACTGAGTATATATTTCAATATGTACTAATTTATTTATAGTCAGATCCGATTTAGTATAATTGATCATTTAATTTGATTTTGTAGAGACTTTTGACCTTCGCTTTTTACTAAAATTAAAAAGTAGAAATAGAGTTATTCAATAATAAATTGCCCTCAGCAGATCCCAAAATGCAGCTCAAGCGCAGCTGTTGCGTTAACTGCGCAGTAAGCAGAGCGCTTGCATATGTACATACATATGTATGTGTGTATGTGTGCTTTTATTGTGCTTGTGGCACAGGTAAAAATGTGAGGTAGGAATAACATAGATATCCATTAAATCAAAATAGAAAACTTGGCTGCTTCTTGACAGCCAATTAAAGGAAATCAATATTTTGTAAAGATTTTCTGCTATGGGAATAGTTCATTATGGAAGTCGTATATGGTATATATGTTTTCGATCAAGCACATTCACCTCACTTATCTAATTGTGAGCAAACAAGAGTGTCACGTTGGCTCAGTGAATAAAGTGCTTCAACTGTAGCAAAAGCTGTTTATTCACTGGGCGTCCATTTGAATAGTGACACAACGCATTATTACCGATTATCAGTGAGAAAAACAGACTCCGAGCAGATGCTGCCCGTGGTGCCGCCAACAATGCGATGCGATAGCGACCCAACCCGATACCCGATACCCAGCTCCGACTCCAGATACGTCGCCCGCCCCGCCCACATCGCCCACACCGTCACCCGATTCACACTTGTGTTTTGCCCAAAAACATGAACACCGAAAGTGAAAGACAACGGTGACAGACGATGGCGACGACAACATGGGGGAGGACGACAACAACGACGATGAGGACGACAACTGCAAGTACGAATTTCCACATACATTATGTACACAGCTATGTGTGCACATAACCTACTAACACAGGAGAGCGCCAGTTAAGCATCGAATGGGCAGGAGAGAGAGAGAGAGAGAGAGCTACTGAGAGGGAGAGACAGAGAGAGAGAACGGAATAGAGACTGAGAGACAGAGAACACAGAGCAACAGCAAGCATAAAGCTTCAGCTTCAGCTTCATCGAAAGTGAGAACTAGGATGAGTGAAAGTGACGCAGCAGTTGCGTGCTGCTCTGCTGCTCTGCTGCTGGGATGCTGAGCTGCTCGGCTGTTGGACTGCTCGGTTGTTGGGCTGTTGGGATGCTAACTGTTGTCTGCTGTCATCTGTTTGGCGGGTCGTTTGCCGTTTTGCCGCCAGTGGAGTCGGCCTTTCGACGCATCGCAATGTGTTGTTGCTGTAGGACGTTGAAGGACACGAGCAGCAGCAGCAGCAGCAGCAGAAGAAGCAGCACAGCAGCAGCATAGCAGCGAAAGCCGTCCCGCTCCCAGCCCATGCGTCTGTATATGCTTGTGTTGTCCTAGTCCGTACCGCTCCCAGCCCATGCGTCTGTATATGTTTGTGTTGTCCTAGTCCTTAAACGAGAGCTTTCAACGCGGCTTCGTGAACGACTCGGCAAGGACTCGGCTGGCGCTGCTGCTGCTGGTGCTGCTGCCAGCACAGTCGGACATAGTTTACCTGCGCCTCGCGACGAGCAGCGTCTGTTAGTCGAGTTTCGACCGTTCAACTAGGCAGAAGTGCGACAGAGGAGGAAGCCCAGCCAAAGTTTACAGCAGGCAATCAGCTCCAGGGAGGAAGCAGCAGCAGAAGCAATTGTGGTGATAAACGGCACTCTCGTCCCCATTCAGAGTGGAATTAGTGGAGAAGAAGAACAACAACTGCAGCAGCTCGCCAAATAAGCTCTACCTGAATAGCAAGCAGTCCGAGCTGCAGCAACGCATTCTGTTTCACACAGCGAGTGCGAATTTATTGACAGCCAGCAGGAGAGAGACGCATTGATTAATCGCCGTGCATGCCTGGTCGGAGTGCCGTACCCTGATCAACTCCGGACCCCCGGGGAGTGGGCCAGAAGAGACCGCAACCGGACAGTTGAGTTGAGGCTGGGGCTGGACCCCATTCGATCATCACCAGCGATTGATAGCAGACACAGCGCCAATACCATCTAAGCACAGGAAAGGCGTTGCTGGCACTTTCGACAAAACAACATCCACAACAACAACAACTACAGCACAAACACCATCAACTAGGAGACCTGAACGGCGAAACGAAAGTGAAAGCAACGTTAAAAATCGAAAAAAACACGCACACACACACACATTTGTGTAATCATATGTATTTCTGTGTCTTGTTCTGTGTGTGTGTTCGTCTGTTTGTGTGTGTGTATTGACGTGCCTGTGAGCTTGCAATAACTTTCAGAACGGAAAACGCGCGATTTTCTATGCTCTTCCCGGCAACAACTGAAGGATACTCGCAACGACAACGGCAACGGCTCTCTCCCTGTCGAAGTGAGTGTGTGCGGGTGTGCGGGTGTGCGGGAGTCGCTGACATCACTTCTTTGTATTTCATTGTGTAGAAATCCGAGCCGGAGTCCATTTGAAGTGCTAATGAAGTAAACGTTGCGTCCCATCCAGTCACCCACTTACCATCAATCAGCACTTGAACTGCTTTAGCTATCAATTAACCTATAACGAAGCTGCCAATCTAATCACAGCCAACAACAAAGGAAACACAAACACCGCCACCTCGATCACAGACAAACCAGCAAAGACTACACTAACAACATGTTCTCCATGTGCAAGAAGGTGAAGCCGAGAAGTGAGGACTCCTCAACAACATCTCAGCAAATGCATGACTTGGGTAAGTTGAAATAGGTTGCTCTACGTCTAAGCCGCAGTCACAGCTCCTGCTTTCCCTATATATAAGTGTGTGTGTGTGTGTGTGTGTGTGTGAGCGTGGCTGTCCCCATTTTCTGGCAAACCCTTGAACTCGTTTTTCGCAAAAAAAAAAAAAAATCGCTGGCTGCTCGTCGGCGTGGGCCTGGCAACAATTTTCCTCAATGAAGTCGAACACAGACGCACAGCACTGTGTGTGTGTGTGTGTGTGTGTGAGTGTTGGAGTGCTACTGTGTGTGGGTGTGCGTGAGCTCGTGTGCCACTCTATATATTGCTCTCTCTCTCTCTCTCTCTCTCTCTCTTTTTGCACTTTCACTCACTCATTCGCTCGCTCTCGCTTTATCTGTCTCTCCCACTCTCTTTGTATTTCTCTCTGGCTTTAGCTCTCGGCTTCCGCTTCTCTATCTGTCGCTGCGGTCCCATTGTTGACCTGCTCATTATGGACATATGTAAGTACATACGTCCGCCTCTGCCCCGCCCCGGCACGTCTTATTAGGTGGATATCAGCAGCGCGGTTATTATGCTGAAATCAGCGCCAGTGGCATTGCCACGCCCATTGGCCCAAGCACATAAACTGCATTAAATCATTAAAACAGCGCCAGCGCAAATACACACACACACATACACACTGAAAACAATCAGGCAGCCAGCACCACCAGCACCAGCAGCACCACCCAGCTGTGCCATCCGCCTGCTGCACTTATGTGTTACTGCAAGTTAAACGAATCCACTAGGCAGCCAACTTGACTGGCGCTCCTGGCGCTGACAGCGCCGTTGTCGGTGGGTTGAAAGCATTCACATGCATAAATCATGCAAGTATATAGCAGCTGCAGCGTTTGCCCATGCCACCAGCCCACCGCCCACGCCTCGCCACCGCCCATGGCTCGCCATCGCCCACAGTCGGCTGCAACAATTATGTGCAAGTTGATTTTGCTGCCGTGTGTCGTCTGAGCCTGCGTCCTTGTCCGCGTCGTCCACCTCGTCGTCGTCGTCGTCGTCTGTTGCAGCCACTTGCAATTTCTGTTGCTTTGTCACTTTAGCTGGGAATGTGGGCTGCGAAATATGAATGCGGTTGTATGCGTGCACTGAAGTGGCACACACCATGTCCGTTGTCCGCTGTCCGCTGTCCGCTGTCCGTTGTCCGGCATGTCCTTTGTCAGTTGACTGTCTGCTTCACTGCTGCTGCTGCTGCTGCTGCTGCTGCTGTTGCAGCTGGCCCAGGCCACCCAATGTCCTTCGGCGACCTAGTTCTTCTGCTGCCCCAGCCCAAACCACTTTTGGCCTCTCTGCATCCCACGCAGTCGACACTTGCCCCCATATAAATGTACATACAGATATGCAGATATATGTGCATATACATATGAATGTATGCGTGTGTGTGTGTGTGTGTGTGTGTACTATATCTAAAATCGTCTGCATTTCGTTTGGGGTTAGCTCAAGTACAGCCTCAAGTCGTTTTCAATTGCGCTGTCAGCGCTTTTGCATTGACAATCTATAGCCCACATTCGATGACTCGGTGGTTAAGCACACTCAATGAGCCCAGGCCCACGCCCACGCCCACGCCCATTGTAGTGGTACGCTTTCCACTTACTCATTTGCAGTTCATAAAGTCGGCTAATTGGCATGGCAACGCGCACAATACATGAAGGAATTATGAGAATTCTCTGAGCTCAAAGCCTGAGCATTTCTTATTGCGAAAATACACTCACTCTGTAGCTGCATTTGCATCCGAGTCTGAGTCTCAGTCTATATGAATATATTCATGCAACATTCACACCGTTGCTACAGCAGTTTTCCATTAAAAGGAGCGTTGATCCAATTAGCCTGGCGTGTGCAGTAATCCACTCAGACTCTGAATAATTGACTTTCACACGATATGCGCACAGCATACAGATTCGCTGTGCTGCATTCGGTTGAAATTCGTTCTTTCTGTGACATTGAAAATGGAGCACTGCAATGGCCGATCCATCATCGTCACGATAATTAGTTTGTTGCGCTGGCAACGGCTCGCATTTCTCGAGCTTGTCAATTACAACATGCGTGGGCTTCAATAAAGTTTCTTAATTAGAGAGAGAGAGAGGGAGAAAGACAGAGAGAGGGAGTAAGAGAGAGAGATACGATACATGTTCCCAGCAGGGATTGCTAGGCAAGATGTGCCAAGGGTTGGCTGGGCTGCTGTTGAGTGAATGGAATGGAATGGAATGGAAGTTAGAATGTAGTCTTTATCAGTGCTTTGCACTCTGTTATTTAGTGTGACTGAGCGAGAGACTGAAGGTCAGCGTGCACTGCAATTGGCTATGACATTTTCAATTAAACTTCCAATCGGATTCCATTTTTATTGCAAATATTTCACTTTGATTTCATTCTCATTTCGTTTTGCAGAGAGCGCGGGCAAGCAAATCAAAGGCGGCTACCTTCTGCGCTACAAAAGTGAGTAATATATGTAGTGCATTCTATTCATTGTTGTTGTTGTTGTTGTTGTCGCACGCTGTTGCCATGCAAAATTCAATTAAAAGCTCAAAGTTTACCTGTGGCGCCATTGTTATGCTCCACACAATAGAAGCGAAGCAAGGATATGACTAGGCAAGTGCACTGGCACAGGATATGCCTTTAAGCAGCTTAGAATTAATTGAATAAATACAAATATATATGGATATATTATGCATGTATCTTATATAAGGCGCACCCAAAGATTCTCAGTACAGACTACATGCATTTCTCAGGCTATCGATCAGATTTTCTGCAGTAAATTAACGGAAAAACGGTGCGAACTTTACTTAGTAGCCTGCAATTGCACTTGAATTCATCCACTGTCTGACTTCATGGGAATCCAATTTGATATCTGTACAACTATATACACACATCCATATATACATATATGAAATTGCCTTTTCTTGTTATAAACAAAAGTTGTGGCAGCTAAATGAAAGCTGATCCAATTAGCCTTAATCCAGTCAGACAATGCATAATTGAGTTTCACATGGAGCACGCACAGCACACGAGTTCCTAGAAATGCCTCGAATATCAATTATAAATTTAACCCCACAATGCACGAGTTGCACTCAGATGGCAGCCATGACAACAAGCTGCATTTCTCTGATTATTTTTATTTGGTAAAATAAATAATCTCGTTTTTGCCACTTTTCATTAACGTCAATCCAACTTTTTTCCAACTGGCTAGAGTCAATAAAATTGCATTTCCATGAAATATATCAGCTTGCGGTGCATAAAGTAAAAACCACAATTCATGTTTGCATCGCATCTGAGTCGAAGATAAATCAACATTTATTCCATTCACATGAATTTCTAGAACAAATGCTGTGGAATCGATGGTCAGAGGAATGGGTTATACTGTACGACGACTCCACCATGGCCTGGTTCACGGAGCCAGGTCGCTCGGCACCAACCGGCAAGGTATTGGTCAAGGAAGCGCCAGAGATGCTGGCCATAGCCCATTGGACTGGGCAAGTTCCGCGTCGTCCGCCGTTGCCCAACGGCGTCAGTGTGTCGCAGCTAATTGCACTCGGGTCGCGGCGTAAGCGATCCAAGGTCTATTGGATGCTGGCCAAGTCGGAGCAGGAGGTGGGCGATTGGATTGAGGCGATAACGAAAACTTTGCCGCCGCCGCCGCAAATCGAGCTAGTCGTGGATAAGCCACAGCTGATGAATGTGCTGCGTCGCCCACTGGTGCGCATAAGACGTAAGTATTATGATCCCACAGCATGCCCATATATTATCCTCAAGCGCACGACGCTACATTGTCAACCACAGCGCCCACCAACTCTGAGGTGAAGCAGCGAAAGTCGGTGGCCCACAAGACCAGTCGGCACCATCGCAGCTCCTCAGCGGCCTTGACCACAGAGCGGATGCTCCACAATCAGAATCCGCTGATCAAAAGCGATGCGGCCGTTGCCATATTGAGCAAGAAGTCGGACTCGAAGGCATCGCTGGCCTGCGCTCTGCCCTGGGGACACGGCTGGGGCTGGGCCACGTTGCCCAACGGCGTCTGGAGCGGCGGCCTCACCTGGTCGCAGTGCGAGGACACCTTCACACTGCACGCCCTACCAACAACACACTGCACCAATCTCGTGGAGAACTCCTGCAGCGGTGCCATCTATCACACAGACATTGGCGGCTTTGACTTTCACTCGTCGGGCGTCGACGATTTGGGCGGCGAGGACTTTGACTATGCCATGGACTGTGGCGATTTTATATTCTAAGTCTCTGTACTTGAACACTATGCTCCCTCCCATTCCCCTACACTTGCTCTAACTTGTCGAACTCTTGGCCAAGGCGAACGGCATTGGAGCTGGCCCAAAAAGTGACAACCAAATTGCCTTCGCTTTGCTAAAAAGTCGTCAACACCTTCGCAGATTTATCTGTGCTAAATTCTTATTTGGGATTATTGTTTATTATACTTTATGGTTCAGCGGCGTTAATTGACAGAACTGTTTATACATATATATATGTAAGTATGTGTGTGCGTATGTGTACATGTCTGTGTATTCGATTACGTGTATATATATGTATGCATACACATTTACACTTGTATGTGTGCCATGCATGCCCCTATACTGATTCCGGATAGAGACACACGCGAATGCATATGCGATCCGCATGTCGCGCATACGCAACGTGGTGCATCCATCTGGCCTGTATGTGGGAGCAGCATCTGCGTGGCTCTGTTAATTAAGTTTGGAGTTTGGAGCCGTGCGCGTTATTGTTGCCAGCGTGCCAATTAGCGAGCTCGAGCTGCATTCAATTGGAAAGTTCAGCTCCAGCACATAGAATTTACATCAGAGTGGACAATTAAATGCCAGCTGTGTGGGTGTTGGGATGGCGAGTGCGTGTGTCTAAAGTATAAACCTAATTAATGGCACATACATATATCCGCGCTCATGCAGTCACTAAGTTGGCGAGAGCTCCAAGAAGGCGAGAGCTCCATGCGCTGCCTGGCACCTAAAAGTATGCAACAATTTTCTGCAAATCAAATGACACCAAAACAGTATATTTTTCTCAGATTATTATGAACTTTCTCTCTCTCTCTCCCTCGCTCTCTCCATTCCCCTCATTCAGAACACACATCTGCATTTTATAATATTTTTATAATTTAGTATTAAGGTCATTAACCGAAACTGATAGTTAATGGAGTTGAGTGGAATATACTGTCTATGGCTACATGGCGCACTTTTGTATTCTACCATCTATAGATATACTATAGAATGTAATGGAACTAACATCAGGCAAGAGGAAAACCAGGTTATTGAAATATACACAGTTAATCCTAGTAAGAATTCATATTCATATGAATAATCCAAGCACACCCAGGCCAGTTTGAAAAAACTAAATAACACCAGCCCACCCGTACTGATAAAATATTAACAAACAAATAATATAGTATTAGTATTAATTATACAAATATACAAAAACAAAAATAAGAAAAAGAAAAATGTACGTATATCGAATGAAACCTCTATTTATGATTTCAGGTCTGTCCTTTACAGGCCGCTCCCTTGCGAGCTGAATCTCCCGATGAAGTTCAGTCTCCTGGAGATGCCATATTTATCGATTATGATCGATTCCTATAGCATCTCATCTTCAATTTGTTTTCCATTACAAAGAAATCGTTATCCCCGTTGCATAGTGGTTCTGTAAAGTCACTGCGAGGGGCAACGATAATGAGTCAAGTTCGTATTTGAAAATAGTTTGTATAGAAGTTTACAAGTGTATATTGTTATGGATATATGTATATTCAAATAATACTTATAAGGTACAGCAAAAAACACACATTAATTCATGTTTTATGTTGCCAAAACCAAAATCGTGCCGTAGATCTCGATGTTAGGGATTAAAGATTTTTATGAAATTAAGTATCTCTAAGATGTCATTAACATTTCTAATCAACTGATTTTCAGTTATCTTCCAATTCCAAAGTCATTCTATTTATGTGAGGAAGCTCCTCTTTCCTAATATGAGATTTATGAAACGGTCAATCCATTAAAGTTCACATCATCACTGTTCACACTAGGCTAATTTTTGACAGACAAACATAAACCCCTTAAGGGGTTTAGGAATATAAAATTAAAAATTTTGCAAATTTTGAACATTTTTGTGCACAAGTGCACAAAAAACGCCGCTACGGAAACCTTGAACAAGAATATTAAGAGATGTAATGTTAGAATAGTTGTGTCTTTATGGACAGAAAACATAGTAATTTAACTAAAAATTGTTGAAAACCAAATATATTTACATAGACAAATACAAAATGAAACAAAACATTTGTGCAGGTATTCATAGTGTTGAAAATGAAAACAAAGTTAAAAAAAAAAAACAAGATAAGTCAAGAAAAACTGTTTGATATTACGGGTAACCAGAAAAGTAGAGTGTCTCTCTCTCTATCTCTTTCGGTCTCTCTCTCTCTCTCTCTCTCTCTCTCTCTCTTGTTGTGTCTCAGATTATGACAAATAATAAGTGTGCGGCCACTGTGTAGGGTGGTAGTAGCCATTGCCTAACATCTGCATGCGCAGACTTTAACCAACACACGGTTATGTACTTACGTGTGTGTGCCTAGCACACAATTCCCGGAGTCGACAAAAGCCAATAAGCACAGCCAAAAGACAAACAGACAAACTAAAACCAAAGCCTAAGCCACGTGCTTGCATAGGTAACAGAAGCTTTAGTCAAACAACATCTCAACACACAAGAGATTGGTAAATTAATACCAACAAAAAAAGAATTATAATAAAATAAAGAAACACAGAAAAAAATACAATTATATATAAATGTTATGTAAACGTAAAAGAACAAAAAAATTGTAATAAAAAAAAAAAAAAAAAAAAAACAGAAAATAATGTAGACTAAAAGACTTAAGCAATTGTCGTTTAGACGTTAAATTAGAGCGCATTGAATGTTGGCTTTAAATTGTTTAGAAAAGTATCCATATTATGTATTGTAGTAGTACAAAGTGGCGACAGCTGAGCGATATGCTTGTGGTAGTAGCCTAGAAGCCTATCGTCAGCGTTATCTTGTAGTCTGAAGTTTGAACGATATGAAATTCAGTGGGAAAGTCAAGCGATGCGTGGCAGGAAATGAAAGCGACGAAAAATTGCATCAATTCATCAATTTATGAATAACTTGAATACCAACAAAAATAAAAAACAAAACAAAATCAATAGGCAAAATATATAAAATGAAGATATAAGAAGAAGAAAAGTCAACACAAAACCAACTTCGACAATCACGGATATAAAGAATGAAGTTAAAACATATTAAAAATTTAATAGGATTTGCATTGACTTGCGATTGGTTAGGACGAGTAGCAAGAGTACATAATAGTGCTTGATATCGATATCGATATCGATGTCTTGCACTTGATATGGAAATTGATCGGGTCGATGGCAGGAGTTTTTTGTGGCAACTGTACTAGAAAGCGTCTAGCATAGAAGCATCTTAAAGTAGCCGCAAGCATCGCACAAGAACTCCGTGACTAAGTGACAACCGTTAATTGAGAAGGTCCAAAGTCGGGTTTTAAATATAGAGTACTTGGATATATATATATATGTATGTATATGTATGTATTTGTATACGTACATAGAAAATGTACATTAGTCCTCCGGTCTTTATTTATTGCCAAGCATATTTTATAATGTTTATTAAACACGCCAAAAAAGAAATGAAGCAAAAAACAATATATATGTATATGTAAAGAAAAAAAATGATTTTAGATAAATGTAAATTTTTTGTAGATCACTTGTACACGTCAAATATGCATTTCCAATGTTTTTCGAAAGGCCAAAGTTTATGATTTGTAACTCTGTAAAAATGCAACATAGTTGAACTGAGTAAAATGATGAATGAATGAATGACATGTGCATATATATATGTATATATATATAATGTATATGTATATATTATGTGTGTGTTTGTGTTGGGAAAGGCAAATGAAATAGAAAGACAATTAATTGATGGCAGCCACTGCTTTGGGACAGTTTTGCGAATGTCTGTGACATTGCGTATACGACTCCTGGGCCAAGGCGTGGTTCGCCTGGTATATGAAACAAATAATATGTAGTTTTTGTTGATTGTCAGCCGACACTGCTGTTGATGTTGCTAAAAAAAAAAAAAGAAAACACAAAAAAAAAAAAAAAGAAAAAACAAAGATTGAATTTGATGTTGACGTTGCCGTGTCATTGAATTAGTGTAATGTAATTGGCTTCGAATGCTATGCATGTGAGTGTGTATTTGTAATTGAATTCTTAATTGTATTTGTAAGCGCTGTAAACTTTGTATTTGATTTTAGCAAAATACAAATGTATATACACAGCACTAGTCAATGTAAGCAGCTTATATACACCGTATACAAAACGATACCACACGCAAGAAATCCTATAGAGAACCTCAGAGAGCATATAGCCAACTAAATGAGATCGTAAATTGTTAATAGTTCACACACACACACACACACACACACACACACACACACACACACACGTATACAACACACCTACCTACAGTTCAAATGAAAATACAAACGTATATATGTATGTATATATAGCATGTATGTATGTATGTATATGCATTAGCTTTTCATATTTGGAGACACGATTCCCTACACTTGAAAAGTCTTTTGCTGTTGGCATTGCCATGCTTACAATTATGACTATGACAGAGCAAGACAATGGTAAAACGATATCTGTAATCTAATAAATTATATGAATGTACACGGTGTCTATATTTTTAATCCAGTATATATACAAAACAAAAAAGCAAGCAAATGAATGTATTTAAAAAAGAAAAAACGAATTCAAATAAAAAAGAAAAGCAGAAAAGTCAGTTTCAAAATGTTGGCAAAATGTACGAAAACTCACGAACTCGCATTTGAGTCAAAGAAAAAGAAGTTATATATATTTTGAAGAGTTATTAAGACCACGAAGAGAGCTCACACATGCGTTGTATTAGTTCATGGGATATACATATACATATGTATATGTATGTGTATATAAAATTGTTAAAGAGAAACAAAATTGAGAAAAAATAATGTAAACAAACATAAAATGAAATAAGTATACAAAACGCAAGGCAAAGCGCGAACTTATTAGGTTTCAAAACCGCAGTTAAAGCTAAACAACAGAAATGTAATGAATAATAATTGTTATATAAACAAATGATGAGCCAAGAAACGCAATGCGAGCGATACACGAGTGTGGAAGACATGCATTACTTATTGAAGTTCAAATACCCTGACTGAGTGCACTCCCATGTTAATCGACGCAATTTATATGAATTTGTTAACGTTGGTGCCAGGTCACTTAGACAGCTCTCTGTCTGGGGTACACCAATCATATATTTCATTAATTATTATGATTTAGTTTAATTTAGACAAATACTTCCTAATATGTACTCAAGCACCCAGACGAGCTTTGCGATGTGAGCAAAAAAGTTGTTAGAGAATTAAAGTTGAAACTGAAAACAAAAACAAAAACAAACAAAAGCAAAAAAAAAAGTAAAGAAACGTTGATAAATAAACGTTGATTTCATATACCAAAGAACCGAAAATGAACAGCAGTAACAATCGAGCGATAAATATATATATATACACATGTATATATTTGTGGATTAACAATACATTCGTTTCATTTGCTTTGCATTATTAGTATTTTATTTTATTTGCAACAGATGTACAGCGTGCCACGCCCACTGGACACGCTATCCACATACGTTGAGAGTGTCGCGTCATCGACAGCGATCAGTGCACTCTCCACGACTCAGTTGGCTCTGCCTCAGTCGCTGCCTCAGTCTCTGCCTGCAGCGGCTCACAACTTGTTCGACTGACGCTAACCGTTTGGCTTTGGCTGGCTGGCTGGCTTTGTGTGCGGCCGCAATCTTTGTCTCAGTCAGCGTACAAGCTTCTAAGCAAACAGTCCAAGCCGGCCGACGACTGACACAGATTTGGCCAGTTAGCCAGTTAGCCAGTTTAGCATATTGGCCCGGGCGCACGCGACGTATGCGTAATTGCAGAGCCCCGCTGTCAGCTTGACCAGCTGACGCTATCCTGTGCCCCACTTTCAAGAGGCATGCATTATAAACTCTAAGCAACGCTCAACTGTGTCAATAAACTCGAGTGGCATTTGACGTGAATTGACCAGCAGGCTAAAGCCCTGTTCGTGTGTGTGTGTGTGTGTTTACATGTCTTTCCCTGTAGCAAACATTCCTCAACAAGAGTCGGCGCATAGGTAAGTTGCTTCAGCTTCAAAGTTATGCAAATCAAAGCACTTGGCGCAGCCAAATGCCAACACACATAAAACACCTCAAAGCACACACACACACACACACACACTCACACAAACAGTTAGATTCGAACGTGTGCCAAAAAAATAAACATAAATTAATTGCTTTGTGTACTCGCCGTGGGCGGCAAAGCCGACTACTGAATGCCCTAAGCCAAGTGTGTGGGATAAATCAAATTAGTTTGCTCTTTATCAAAGATTATCTCATTTCATATTATTTCTATGTGTAATCCTAGAGTTTAGGCAATGTCAGAGATCTGGGCTAACCGCATTCAAAACAGACTTATGTAAATCACAAAATTTACGTCTGAGCAGCTTGAACAGCTTATTGCATTATTATTTAAATAATATCATTAAAGTATTCCATTTCATTTCATTGAAGTTTCGCCTTTCAAATTCGTTTCGTTTCTTAGGGGGCTCTGACTAAACTGTAAAAGTATCCGGGTCGTCGCAGAAACTGTTTGAAAAAGAAAAAAAAGTATATGTATATTAAATTCGGAAGGAAGCAGAAACTTGACATGATTATATTTCGGGAGCTTTATATATCACCTCAACAGCAGTTTATTAGGAAATTCGACTCTTAAATTGTACCCAGCAACGCTTTGAAACAGGAGCAAGGTTCTATTGCGCGTTTACGGAGCATATACATATACATATACATACGTAGATATAAATACCTATACGCACACGCTCATATATATGTTTGTATGTATGCATGTATGTATGTGTGAGGCCTGCGAGGAGTATTAATCGTAGTTCATTCAATTCGGTAAGCGAATCAAACTCAATTCAATTAGTTTGCTCATTGAGCAGTCCATTTTTGGAGCAACTGAATGTCGCAGACGGCCCACGGCCCACGATTGAATGCTGCTGGCAACTGGGTACGGCTTCCAGCTTCGATCTCGACTTGATCTTCGACTTCCAGATGGGCTGCCCACGCGACAACAATTGCCTTGACGCCTCCTGGCGCACATGCTCAGGGACAGCTCAGAGCTCAAATGCCGCTCAGCTTACTCAAAATTCTCTTGTTTTACAGCTATTTTTAGGCACAGCGCAACGCAAGACTCCAAGACTGTTAGACGATTGTGCGTGACTCACCGCTCAGCTTAAGCCGGGTCTACACTTCAAACCAAGCAGCTGTGCCGCGTCATCGTCAGCCGACTGCTGCTGCCCACACCAGACTCCGTTGCGACTCAGCTTTGGGAGAGACAGAGACGGAGAGAGAGAGAGAGGGAGAGCAGGCTTTATTTGGTGATGGCGTCACAAGATGCCTTTAATTACCCAACCTCAAAGCTGGCACAAATGCGGGTAAGTTCGCCGAGTTGGACAGGAAGCGTGCCGAGCTCCATCCACTGACCATTAATTATACTCCGCCCCCCCCAAATTGTCGGCGATTGGCCGACAGTCAGTGTGACTGTCAATTTCCGTAGCGCTCCATATATGGCCACCAGCTGATGTTAGATCTTCCCATATAGTTGCTTCCCAGCTTATTAATTTCAGCTCCCAAATTTGGCATGACAAACAGTTTAAATAAGAATTAATAACAATAGAGGTGTTGTAGGAATTATACATAAGTTGGCTTAAACTTTCTCTTGCTCTCTCTGCCTCATGACTCGATGCTCTCTCAGTGCCTGACATGATAGTCTGACATCACTCTATCCAAATTCGATTAACAAACAATCATATTTATGACAGCCAGCTAGAGATTCCCGTTGATGATTGCTGGACAAAAGACTTGCACAGTTGACATTTGGCTTATCTTGGTCGAGATCCATTATATTTCATATATTATTTTGTATACTGGGCGTTTAATTAAATACTTGGAAATTATTTAAGTACAAGGTGCACCCACATACATACATACATTCAAATCCATTAATTCGTTCACATATTGACTATGTATTACACATACATGCACATAGAATACCCTATTTAAATACCCTATATAAACATGTGACATTGTCAAATAAGTAGCTGACACACACACACACAAACGCAAAGGCCACCTCCCACACACACAGACACGCAGCTACCTTTCACACACACACGCACGCACACAGCCACACTCACGTCAACGGCACAAAACAAGCTCGAAAATTGTTGCTCGAGATTTGTATCGCTGATTTGGGACGGCTTCAGGTGTCGTCGGGAAAAACCCCTGGGGAATGGCATACACCCCGTGAGCTTTGTCACCTTTACGGGCGGCTTTGCCTGCGCGCCTGCTCGCCTGCTGCTCGCCTGTTATTCGAGTGTGCAACAAATGTTGCATGGCTTTGCTGGATAGTCCTTCCCTCTCGTTTCCGACGGGTTTCATTGTTAGCCCAAGGGGCCGCCCTCTGCTCCAGCTCCATGGCAACCCTTGGGGTCGCATTGCAGTCATTGATTTTTGTTACTGGCATGCAGCAACAGCAGCAGCAACAGCAACAACAATCCTATAACAACAACAGTCAACTGGCTCGCTAGTTTGTCAAGTGCTCAATCTTAGAAAAACAATTTTGTTCAATTTCAACAATTTGTGCTGGGCGGAGCGCTGGCCATGGCTGGCCACAGCAACTCCAGGGATTGAGGAAGGCAGCATGCCCGCCACCCCCAACTACTTTGCCAAGCCAACCAAGACGGCCGCCAGGGTTAGCTTCGTGCAGGCGGGTCGGGTGGCTCGCGGCTTTATGTACTGGCGGCATGTAAGTGGACACACACAGATTCGGTTTAATGGGCAATCGGGTGGGTTTGGCTGGCTCATCGGAACTTTCAATAGACAAGCGAGTGAAGCGACATACACCTACATACATACATACATACATATACAGCCGTGCATACATTCAGTTAATTACCACTCGGGAAAAACGGACTGGCTAATGTCCAGTTCCACGTAGCTTTTAGTCGACACGCGCGCCTCGCACGAACCGCTTGGGCATGGGTAGCATGTCGCTGCCGGACGTGGACGAAATCGTTGACTATTACGACTTAATGTCGGACTCTCTGCATGATCACATAATGCCGCTGAAGCTCAATGAATCATGGGCAGCCAGGCGGCTGGTGGAGGCGCTTAGCCAACTGCCGCCCCATCACGACAACATCAGCAATTCGGCACCCGTAACAGCCACCCAGCCAGGTCACTTGTGGACTCACTTGTACTAATGCCCATTGGAATTTCTTGCAGATGCGCTTCCAGCAGAAGACACACGAGGAGCAGGAGCAGCGTCGCCAAGAACTCAGCCAGGCTGTTGGTGCATCGCCCAGGGCAGCCACCGGACGCCTTATAGGCAATGGCAAGGTGCGGCAAATGTTTGACGAGAGACGCCGTGGCGCCGGCATCGATCGCAGCAATCCGCTCAAGCCCATTGGGGACACCGCGCGCACACACAGCCTACAGCAGCAGCAGCAGCAGATTACCAAAGGCCTATCCACAATGAGCCTCAAAGAGAAGCCAGTCTCTGGCCGAAATTCGACCGGTGACAGCAACAACAACAGCAGCAGCAACAGCAAGAGCAACAACAACAAATATAATGCAGCGGGCACGCTGACAAATGCAAACCGTTTGAAGCCAGTGATAACACGCAAAACGCCACCCAAGGAGAAGGAGATGCCAATGCGCGCTAATTCCTCGCCCCCGAGCAGCGCCAGGGCCAAGACCTTTAGATCCACAGCAACAACAGCCACAGCAACAAGAACAGCAACAACAACAACAACAACGAGAACAACAGCAACAGCAAGAGCGACCGCAACCACGCCGACAATGCAGGCTGCCCGCTCGCCCAACACACGGGCTCCACTCTCGGAGAGGGGACGCGTTTCAGCGCCAAAGGGGCGTCAGGTAAGTCACGTTAGCATCGACTTGGCTACGCACGAGCACTCAAACTGTATATATAACATTTAAATCATGTATTATTACAAACGGCCCTAGGTTAAACCAAAATCTCCAGTTACCAAAATTCAAATGGTAAGTGTAGCTAAGCCAAGAGTCCATTACCATTAATACTGACATTGTGTGTTGGCTTGCAGGACTCTGCTCCTCCGGAAGGTACAAAAACGTGCCGCTTTTGTGGCCGTCACTTCAACATCGATCGCCTGGCCAAGCACGAGGATGTGTGCCAGCGAACCATGAACACGAAGCGCAAGATCTTCGATGCCGCCAAGCAGCGCGTGAAGGGCACAGACAACGAGAAGTACAACAGCAAGGGGCAGCAGAAGTCGAACCTGAGTCGTTCACAGTCCACATATAGCAGTGCCGCCCAGCAGAAGGGCCTCAAGACTGGCGTCAAGAAGAGCAATTGGCGCAAGAAGCACGAGGAGTTCATCGAGGCCATACGGGCTGCCAAAAAGGTGCAGGCCCATTTGGCACGTGGCGGCAAACTCAGTGATTTGCCACCGCCGCCGCCTTCAGAGAATCCCGATTACATTCAGTGCCCGCATTGCGGCAGACGCTTCAACGAGCAGGCCGCCGAGCGCCATATTCCCCGCTGTGCCACAATGGAGCACAACAAGCCGCGCAAGAATCCGCAGCCGCCAGTCAGGAATCGTTAACTAGATTTGGGACATTGACTTTTGCCCGTTTATTACATGTGATAAAGGATTCGATGAATATATAACAGCATAAAATTAATTATTGATCGTGTTGTTTCCCTCTGCTAGTCCGACAGTATTTCCACATCATTGCTGTTCGCATCCGGCTGTACTTCGGCTTGGGGCTGTGGCTGTGCGCTGCCCGCCTTTTCGCGCTCGATGATCGCCTTTACGGCATCCGCTGCCTTGTGCATTTCCAGGCCTTCCAGCATGTAGGCCCAGTTCTCTAGCGTGGCATCGTCGTCGTCTGAGATCCAATTGGTCAACATCTTCATGCATGCCACGCCCGGCGTAGGATTTTCCATTTGGAAGAAGAGCAGCTCGTCATTGCTGAAGCCGATCTTCTTGCCCACCTTCATCCAGGGCTCGCCTATCAACGGTGTTATCTCCTCGATGTGGGCGGCTGTCACCATCAGCGGCTTCTCATGTGCCGGTGTCTCGTCCGCTTCCTCGACCACAGGCTCGGGGTCCTCAACCTCCAGGTCGGGCTCTGGCTCCGTTTCCTGCAATGCTACCGATGCGTCATGCTCCTGTTCAGCTGGTGCACTGCTGGCAGCCAAACCATTGTCGTGCTCCGACGCATTTGCTGCTGCGGTGTTTATCTGCTTAGCCAGCTCCTTTTCGCGCATCAAACGTTTACGCACCACATCCAGATAGTCGGTTATCTTGCACGACGGTTGCGTCACGAACGTGAAAAAATGTGGTGTCTGGCGGGCTAGCAGACGCAAGGCACGCCACTCGAAAGCAGGATCTATCTTGTCATGCGGCGTCTCCAAGTACGTCTCCAACTGAGGCAAAAAGTTGCGCTGCTCACTCTTGCAGGCCTGCAAATTGTCGGGCGAGTAGTTCCACAGCCGAGTCAGATGGTCACTAATAAATGAAATGATAAGATATATGTGAGTGCATATATTGACGAGCGGCACTTACTTTCCCAAATAGAATTTGCCATTGCGTGCCGCTTCGCGCAAGCAATCGCCCAATGGCCGCTTGGCACGCTTTGGAGGTGAAGGCTTCGACTCCTCATCGGTGGGCTCTGGGTCCTCGGGTTTCTTGAACTCCTTGCAGCCGTCGTTTTTCCAATTGTTCCACATCTCCTCGCGTTGCAGCATATGCTGCACAGTGCGCGCAAAACGCCTGCCATTCGGAGGCGTTTCCTCCAGCAGTTTGTACACGCGCTGCTCCGTCTCCTTGATGAAGTCGGACTGAGCACTCGTCAGGGTGTAGGTGTCACTGAGAATCAATGAAAACTCTGAATGCCTGCAAGCGTGTGGGGCTAGTCGGCTACTTACATTTTGAACTTGACGCTGACCTGCAAGTACTGGAACAATATGAGAAATTGCACCAATACGGCACGCCGGAAATTCGAGTCGGACAGCTGGAGTGCGAGCAGTTTGGGGTTGGTCAAGAACTTGGCAAAGAAATTCGTTTCCTTGCGCACAGCCATCGAAGCCGCTGCATCCACTGCAGCATCGTCCACATCTACATCCATCATCAGTGCGCTCGAGTCGCCGTTGGAGCCATTGGCACTGTTGGCGCCATTGGAATCGTTGTTCTGGCGTATATCTTCCAGTTTAAAGCTCAAAAATGACTGCAGTATGGTCTCGGCGTGCTGTTTAGATAAATCACACGCTAAAGCTATCCTTTGCAATCGATGGTTAATTTGTAAATTACCATTTGAAACATCTTCCATTGCGCTTTGCTGTAGCATTGATTGGGATTGCGGAAAAAGTCCTGTAGCGACCAGAACTTACAATACAAATCGTAGTCAATCTTTAGCGGTATATCCTCAGCCGTATCTTCCAGTTCCTTATTATCAAGGTCGTCGTGGTCCTTGCTATCCAGACCGTACTCGGTAAAGTTATCCAGATTGAACTCGGACACAATGTTCAAACCAGAGCGCTCCGAGAAGGGAAAGAACTTGGAGAGAAAGAGTAAAATGCGACCACAGAAAACGGTATTCTGTGTGCGAGACAAACGTCTCAGTAGATCGTTGCACATGCGAAGCAAATTGTTCTTGCACGACGCAAAGAAGATCTCCTCCTTCCAGACCTCGACGAGATCTTCTACAAACTTGAAAATCAGCTCACACTTATTCAGCGTAACCACATCGAAGGTATCCCCGAGTAATACAACTGGAATTGTGTTCGATACAATCTCTGCTCGAGCTGCGTCCACAGAGAGGCGCACGAGCGCTCCAATCCGTTCGACATCGTCGCTCAGCCGCTTCATAAGCACTTCCCGAAACGCCTGGTCCATGGGCGAGCGTTTGTCGTGCTCGGAATTAGCACGAAAGCTGTGATACTCTTTGATCAATTGTTCCACATTATTCTCGGCAATCGCCTGCTCCAGGGCAGTCTGCAAGCAACGAATGAAGAATTTACATTTGCCGGTGCAGCAGTTCCCAACAGTTGTTGATGCTCACCTCGAATGCCGCCTGTAGCGCAAAGAAATTGGCCGACTTCGTGGCTGTATCGTCGGCCAATGCTAATTGCGTGCTCATTCTTAATGTTTATATTTGATTACTTTTGCTTTAGTTTGAAATTTTAAGCAATTGTTGGCAAATGCAAAACAATAATTACAATGTTGCTCGAAACAAAACAGTGCTGCCAACTTGCTATATTTCAACTAGTGATGTTGAATAGTTCAAGGCGCATGGCCACATTGGTATGTTTGGTATATTTGGTATTTTAGCCGAACTTGAATTTTTTCATATGGTAAAATACTAAATTTTTAGTAGTTATTTAACAACACTCGAGTTTTGGTGCTGTAAGGCGCGCTTTTTAATATGCAATTTAAAAATAATGTGTCTTTTATTCTCCGTTTTGTACGCGTTTATTGTTTATTAACTTTCTCGGAAAATTATATGTTTATATGTATGTATATTATTATTGCTATAATTGTTCCTTAAACATAGTTACAACTTGTTACAAGCATAAATGTTACATGTTTTTATTGCTTTCGTTTATTTAATTTTGTTAGCTTTGTTCGTTTATATTTTGCATTCGCTTTGTTTTTTTTTTTTTTTTTTTAGGGCGTGGTGTAAATTATTGAAACTACTAAACACTAGTTACTCATAATTGTTCCATCTGTTGGATTTAAAATACTTTGCCGTACTATATTTATAATTGTATTATTCTACGTCTGCCACTTAAAAACTAGAAAATTTCAATTATTATAATTTGTGGAGAGTTTCAATCATTCACTAGTTAAAGTAAAACTATATGGTTAAAATTAGGCATTAGGAAGTTGGTTTCTAAATTGTTTCAGCATAATTTAGCTTGAAGATAATGTTCACACTTGTCCAATTGTTACAACTAACTAATGGTATAAAATACACATTAGTGGATCAGCTTTTACTCATTAATTGTATTCTTTTTTTAGTTCAATTTATAAATAAAGATATTTCAAATTTTAGTAATTGTCAACTAGGAAGATTGTTGAATTAAGTATTCTTAGAGATTAGTTTTCGATTTTCTCATTTTGTTTGCTTTTATAGTCGACGAGGTACAAAGTTATTTATACTTGAAAATTATAAGTTTATTTTTTGTTTAGTTCTCCTTTTGCTTTTTCGTTTTTGTTTAGTTTTTGTTGTAAGCATAATGAGGTACATATGTATCAACATCATTGAAATTATCGTTCATATAGTACTCAGAGTTTTTCGTGAGAGTCGCGCAAAGAAGTTGTAATTGAAAGCGCATTGTTTTTGTTGTTTTTTGTTTTGTTCATCGTTTTATCATTCATCATGATAAATCATAATCGTCTTAATGCTAAATACCACAGTCGAAGTATGTACTAATTATACATATACATATGTACATATATCTAGTCACTATATATATACATATATGTGTATATATATATGTTTATATGTTCTTATTCATATTGTTACTGTTACAGCACGCGCTCATTTTATACACGGTATATTTGAGTAGCATTTTGAAGCATTTTGCATCTGGTTTATCATTTGTTTCAATGATCAGCTCTGTCCAGCCGTTTAGTCCGGCTGCGAGCGAGTATTTCGCAATATCCAATTGATTCGGGCACGTCGTGGTTGGGGCTTTAGCAAGAGCAGCAGTGAGAGCAGCAGGATTAGGAGCAGCCAGTAAGCGGGTCATAGGTCGATGTGGGTCAATGACTGTTCCACGGTGGCATTGGCCACCGTATTGCACGTCTGTGTGGACATCCATTCAAAGTCTTTGATTGTTGCCTGACAAAATGATAAATCGATAATTACTATATAGTATTATATATGCTCCCTGGCTCTAGTTCACCTTATGCATGGAGTAGACGGCCACCACGACCAGCACATGCATAATGTTATGCGAGTTCAGATAGAAGTCGACCAGGCCGGGAAACCACTTTTCGGGTATGCGCATGGCACCAATAGCACCGCCCAGTATGGAGACGCCATCCTGAAGCGATGCAAGAGAATGTTTGTGCGAATCTTGTATTAGCGAGGGTAACAATGGATGACGGGAACTGTATTTGGGTTTGGTTGTATTGGTATGGCGGTGTTCGGAGGACACCAATCGCATCGGTTGCATACGGCCCAGTCTTACACTTGGTCCATATGCAGGTTATGTAGGTGTACAATATATGAAAGTTCAACTTACAACTTCAACCTAAGAATGGATGCGCACAGGCCAGCCAAAAATGTTTGGTAAAAATAGCAAGTTAGTCAATTGGAATGCCTTGACATACGCACCTGCAGGTAGACATGGGAAAGGGCCATATGACTGCCGCCCACCATTCCTCGGATCCGCAGAAAGGTCAACACGGAGCGCATGGCAAACGGCAGAGCAAAGCACAGACGCCTCTGCCACGGAGAGCTGGCGGTGAGTGCCTGTTGAATTGAGATTTATACCCACATGTATAATCAAGGATCAAATTTGAACTAACTCTAAGGGTCTACAGAGACTTGAAATAATATGGGGAAATGTTAATACAAATTCCTGTTAAGTTATCTAACACAAGCAAAAAAGTATGTTCCTTTCATAGGGCAAAAAGTAATAGTGGGAACTGTTAGGTAGAGCTCTGAAAATCTGTGAAGTAACTGTTTAGTTAAGCTCACATATAAACACCTAAATAAATGTTAACAGGGAATTAAAAAAAATACTGGGAACAGTTAAGAGAGATAATATACAGTGATAATAAAGTATGCTTCGTGTTTTCAAGTGTTTCTTTTAGATGAAATAAAAAATAATGGGAAGAAAATGAGCATACGCTTAGTATTCGGCTCACTACATAATATTGTAAACATTAAGGAAAGACAAGCCTGCTAGTCTTAAGTCTAAGGACTTATTTTATATAAAATTGAAAAGTAATGGGAAAATGTTAAATAAAACGCAAAATATGCAGTACATAATATTATACAGGGATCAGTCTTGATACATATCTTACCTTATACAAACCCCATAGTGAGAGAAGACAGTATGCGGTTATGATGAACCACTTGAGGATGGGCGTAAAGCAGAGTGTTGTCGCCGTAACCAGCGGCAAGGCACCTACAAAGGGAGAGAAACAAACAGAGAGAGAGGGAGAGAGAGAGGAAGAGAGACCGAGAGAGAAATGAGTTGTCCAAGCCGAAATCAATTTCGTTTGACACCTGTTATGGTCAACGAAATAAAACAATCCGTGATAAGACGAGCAGCGCCGACAGCTGAAGCTCAGTTGAGGAACGACAATCGCGCATTAAACAACGCAATATGAGAGATATTTCCGCTTCCGTCAGCCGCCGGGCTATCAGCTGTCTGCGACTGCTGCTGCTGCTGATGTCAGTACGGAACATTGTTGACGCCGGCGTCTTTGAGAGTCTGAGTATTAATACACCGCTAACGCATGAGATCATGCAGCAGGCCAAGTCCGCGGGCATGCGCTCCTACATAAACAGGAAGGTGCAGCCGTGCGATGATTTCTATGGCTATGCGTGTGGCAACTTTGCCAGGATCAATCCAGCGACACAGGAAACGGTCAGCACGGACTTCTTTGAGGCCCTCAATGCCGGCTATCAGCGCCGGCTGCGCCAGCTGTTCCGGCAGCCCAAGCTGAGCACGGACAGCCCCACCGAAACGCGTGTCAAGTACTTCTACGAGTCCTGCCTGAACACCAGCGCACTGCAGCTGAATCAGCGTGCCCATGTGCTGGGCATCCTCAAAGAGTTCGGCGGACTGCCCGCCCTGGAGGGCAGCAAGTGGAACGAGTCCAATTTCGAGCCAATCGAAATGATGGCGCGCCTGCTGAATCGCTTTGGCAAGCGGACACTGCTGAGCGTGAAGGTCGGTCCGGGCCTGGCCAACAGCCAGATGAATCGATTATTTATCGGCCAGCGGGACGATCTGGACAGCAGCAAGGCCGTCGTCCTACACCACAGCAGCCAGCTGATTATGAAGGAGAATCTGCAGCAGCTGCTGGGCCTGAGTGAGTCGAAGGCCGCCGAAACAGCGGCGGAAATAGCAAAAATCAATCTGGAGCTGTCACGCGGCATCGTCGAGCCCCAAGAGGAGCTGCCGCCCAGCCAGATGTACCGCCTGCGCCTGCTGTCCGACATGAGCGACAGCTACGGGCCCAGGCTCAATGTGACGCGCTTCGTGCAGCTCTGGCTGAATCATGACTACCTGCTGCCCGTCTACGAATACGTCGAGAGCTACATGTGGCAGGTGAAGAAGATACTGACCCAGACGCCCAAGCGAGTCCTGGCCAACTACATGCTCTCATCGCTGCTCAGCGACTACGAGATCGAGACGGCTGCCAGTCCGGAGAAGCAGCATGTGCTGTGCGCGGAGAAGACGACGCTGCTATTCGCGGACTTTGTGGACCACATGGTGTACCGGTCGCTGGAGAAGCAGAACCCGGACATACCGGGCAGCCTGCGCCAGCTGTGGCAGGAGCTGAAGGTGGCCTTTGGCGATTTGCTGCGCGCGCCCAGCACCAAGTGGCTAAGCGAGCAGACCCTGAACGAGGCGCTGGCCAAGCTGAAGGCCATGAGCTTTCACATACTGGGCTCTGGGACGAGCGACTTTGAGGACTACTATGGCGGCCTGGTGATCAGCAATGCCGACTACTTTGGCAACGTGCAGCGGCTGCTGGAGCTGCGTGCTCAGCACTTGCGCGAGGATCTCCAGCGGCAGCCGAACCCCTACTTCTATGCGGACTTCAATACGTCGCCGTTCTATGTGCCGGAGCTGAATCGTGTCATATTGCCAGCCAGCTTTATGCAGCATCGCTACTTCTTCGACGAGGTCTACCCCATGGCGCTCAAGTACGGCACCGTCGGCTTCTCGCTGGCCCACGAGATGGCCCACGGCTTCGACGATCTGTCGCGCACCTTCGACGCCCAGGGCAACCTGCGCGACTGGTGGGACCGCAATGCCACGCTAGCGTTCGAGGAGCGCAAGCAGTGCCTGGTGGAGCAGTTCAGTGGCTATCGCTACAATGGCGAGCGGCTGCCCAAGCTGCAGCTGCAGTCCGAGAATATAGCGGACAATACGGGCGTGCGCATCGCCCATGCCGCCTACCTCAACTGGCTGAGCCAGTCCTCGCCGGATGGCGAGACATTGCCTCGCATGTCGCACACGCCGCAGCAGCTCTTCTTTCTCGCTCTAGGTCAGGTGTGGTGCTCGGATCTGTTGCCAGGGCTGCGTCACGCACTGGCCATCAGCGACGTGCATGCGCCGGACGAGGTGAGACTCTACGCGATGATGGCCAACTTTGATGAGTTCGCCAAGGCCTACGAGTGCCGGCAAGGCGCCCACATGAATCCCCTGCGAAAGTGCGTTATCTACTGAGGCCGTCCTTCAACTGATTAGGAGCTATCTACATATGTGTATAGTATAAGCTGTCTGTACTTGAAATACATCTATACGCTTGTCGTATATACTGCCCATTTCCTAGTTGCGTTTCTATTCATGTATATTTATATATAGAGTGAGAGAGAGAGAGAGAGAGAGGGAGAGATTAACGCTCACTTACCGAAACTCTGGCTCACCCAGATGCCAACCATGTCCAGCTTGAGCAGCGTATAGTAAAAATTCTCCCCCTTCTCGATGTTCATAAACAGATGATAGACGAAGCTGCCGCACCAAGGCGCCACCGATCCAAAGACGTGGCAAAACGAGAGGAACTTGTAGCCACTGTCCCACGGCATCAGGCCCGGAACAATGGCCAGTATATAAAATATGGGTATGGCTGCAAATAAACAAATATTGCTTGTTTTTAAAGGAGAGTACCATCAAGTCATGTAGAAAATAAAATATAATAATAATGATAATAAATTCTATTTATAAGAGAGATTAGGTAATATTACTTTATAGAGACAAATAGCTACTGATACCGACTTTCATATATTCCACATGATGTAGTCAGAATTCATACAGATGCTGAAATGTGAGCATATGTGAAATAAGTGAAATATAGTTCGAGTCAACTGTTTACCTTGAGATTCGGTTCGCTTTGATTAAGATTATTATTAAGAGAGTGAAGTTCGAAACCCGAAAAATACAAACTGTTAAATCAGAACAAGTGCTTGGGCTTGCATCTGATTTAAAGTATATTCATAAAGTCTAATTTTTATTGAGACTTCCAATATTTTTCTCTTTTACTTATAGTATATACATAACAAATACTAGAGAAATACTTGCTCGTATGTAGCACTACTTGTTCCATTCAGACACTCCGCTATGTTAACATTGAGATAACATTAACCATTTGAATTATGTGTAGCATGAGCTTTCGTCTGGCTAGCTCAGCTGGTATAAGAGTCTATGCAGCTCATGGAGCTCTCGCGATGCGCGATAACAGTTTGACCTGCCGCAGTGCGCTGATAATCGAGCCGTTGGGGCCAGACAAAGCGACTGTTTTGGAGCTCAGTTGAATCGTTGGCGGGAATCATGTTAGGACGACGCTGGAACGCTTCGCTGCTGCTGGCAATATTTTGCTTGACGGCAGCCCCAATCGCCTGGGCCTTGCCGTCGGGGACGGCCAATGCGAGCGTAGGCGATGATCTCACAACGGATTACGCCAAGCAGATCATACGCCAGTCTAAGGTGGCCGAGATGAAGGGCATGCTGGATGAGAGGACGGCGCCCTGCGACGACTTCTACGGCTATGCGTGCGGCAACTGGCATCGTCAGAATCCCGCTCAGCTGTTCGGGAACATAATGACGGATACGTTTCAGCTGATTGTCAAGGGATTCGACCGACGTCTGCAACGTCTGCTGCAGTCGGGCGAAATGAGATCAGAGCTGGAGCAGAAGCTACAAAATTTCTATCGATCCTGTCTGCTGGCAGATGTACGAGATATCCACTATAAGCGGGCGCTGCTGAGCATCTATAGTGAGTTCGGAGGATTTCCTGTGGTGGAGCGTGAGAGCTGGATTGCCCCGAGCTTCAGCTGGTGGCGCACCATTGCGGAAATACAGCACAAATACGGCCAGCAAATCATACTGGCCGTGGACATAATGTCGGACATCAAGAATCATACGGTTAATCGGGTCTATCTGGGCCCGCCGGACAACAAGCAGCCCATCAGCATACTGAAGAATCTCGAGGATAAGGCTCTGGCACATCAGCTCCAGCTCTACTTTGGCGTTGCCGAGCAACTGGCCAAGCGAACCGCCAGGCAGCTGATCAAATTGCAGCGCGCCCTGGCCGAGGGCAGCCTCAGCGAAAACGTCAGCCTGGAAGACGATCTGGCCCTTTACTCAGTGGCCGAGCTGGAGCAGAGGTATGCTGCGCAGTTCAGCATCAAAGAGTATCTCGGCCTGGTGCTGGGCAAGGACAATGTGCCGGAGCACATCTATATCTATAGTGAGAACTATTTGAACAGCACCCTGCAAACGCTGCAGGCCACTCCGGTGGAGACAATCGCCAACTATGTGATCTGGCAGCTGCTGGAGCCATACCGAGTCCAGTCCGAGCCCAACGAGCTGCGCACCTGGTGCACTGAGCAAACCAAGAAGCACTTTGCAAAGCTCACGGACCACATGATCTACGAGCGCTATCGCAGTCCCGCGGCCGAGGCAGATGTGAAGAGTGTCTGGAAGCAGATACGCGAGACGTTCCGGCAGCAATTGGCGGGCGACAAGCTCGACTGGATTGCGAACAGGACTCGAGAGCTGGCGATTCATAAATTGGATCGCATGGAGCTGCACATCAACTCCTATGACAATGTGGACTTCCAGGGACTCTACGGCGCGGTGGCCGTGGACAGGCAGAACTACGTGCTCAACGTGCAACAGCTGCTCATGGTGGAGGCCAAGCGCAGTCTGAAGAGGCAGCACAATCCGGCCACCTCATTGGAGGCCACCGATGTGCTGAGCTTCACGCCCGCCTACAACATCCTGGACAACAACATCACAATCCCAGTGGCGCTCCTCCAGCCGCGCTACTTCTGGGATGCGAACTACCCGCAGGCGCTCAAGTACGGCACCTTGGGCTATCTGCTGGCGCACGAGATGATACACGGCTTCGACGACGAGGGACGCAATTATGATGCCAACGGCAATCTGGCGCCCTGGTGGGATGAAAGATCGCGCTACGAGTTCGAGGAGAAGCGCAAGTGCTTCCAGGCGCAGTATCACTCCTACAAATACGGCGGCACACGCTTGCCGGAGAGCGTGCTGCAGTCGGAGAACATTGCCGACAATGCGGGCGTCAAGCTGGCCTACAAGGCCTACCAGCGTTGGCTGGAGCAGCAGCCGCCCGAGGTGCTGCAGCAGGAGACACTAGCCGGCCTCGAGCTGACCAGCCGGCAGCTGTTCTTCCTGAGCTATGCCCAGCTGTGGTGCGACGACGTCCAGTCCCTGTTCAAGACGTCGGTGGCCAAGGTGGATGACCATGCGCCGGGCATGTATCGCGTCATTGGGCCATTGTCGAACTTTCAAGAGTTCTCCTGGGTCTACAACTGCTCCCAGCAGGCGCCCATGGATCCAGAGTTCAAGTGCGCCATATACTAAGCTAGCTGCTCTGAAATGCTATGCCTTAGCCTTAGTCTTACAATAAAATGGGTGGCCCGTAAGGGTAGCCGAAATGTTAGCTTTATTATTTCACATTTTACTTTAGCCGTACAGTCGACATCTCTGCTCAGGATTCATTGGCGATGGGCTGGAGCAAGCGAAGACTCTGGCAAAGTCCGCCGTGTTGGCCAAGGCGCCCTGCACGCGCAGCGCATTGGGCGTTTCGGTGAGCAGCAGCGACTGCTTGTCCCGGAACTGCTCGTTGGCATCGTTGCACCACAGCTGCGCATAGCTGAGGAAGAACAGCTGCTCGGGAGTGTGGCTCAGCGACGGCAGCTGCTCCGTGATCAGGGCCGACGAGGCCAGGCTGGCCAAGTAGCTCCTGTAGCCCAGATACGCCAGCTGTATGGCCGCATTGTCGGCCATATTGTTGTCCTGCAGCTCACTGGAGGGCAGATAGTTGCCGGCGTAGCGCAGGCGCTCGTACTGATGCCGATAGCAGGCCTTGCGCTTGCCAAAGCCAGCCAAGGTGGCTGCATCCCAGTCGGCGCGCCTGTCCAAGCTGTGGGCCAGCTGCTCCGCCATAATGGTGCCCAGGGTGGCGTAGCGCAGAGCCCGCGGATAGAAGCGAGACCACAGGAAGTTCGGTTGCAGCAGTGCCACGGGCAGCAGCACCTGATTCTCCAGGGGATCGTATGTGGGCGCAGTGGGCACCACAGCGGACGGCTCAAGCACATTTCGCTGGCTGAGCACAGCGGCCAGATTGAATAGGAAATCGTTCGGCTTCAGCTCCAGCTGCCCGTAGCGCTCTGTGAAATTCCAATGAGTATATCCATTGAGCAGCAGCCGCGTCGCATTCAACTGGTCCAGCACCAGGCGACGCGTGTCCTGGGATAGCCAGTCAGTGCTGTTGTTATTCTCAAGCAGATTGTAGAAGCTGCGCTTGATCTGCTGCCAGACATCGTCGATATCGCTCAGGGTGGACGCAGCGCCGTACCGCCGGTAGGCCATGTTGGTGAGCAGCTGCGGGAACAGCTGCGTGGCGCTGCTCATGCACTGGGCCACAACTGGCGCCGAGCGGTCGTAGTAGAAGCGCTGCAGCAGCTTGTGGAAGATGTAGTTGGCCAGCACATGGGCGGGCGTTTGAGCCAGGACGACCAGCAAATGCGCCTGATAGCTGTCCACGTGCTCGTAGAGCAGCTCATCCGGCTGCAACGGCCGCTGCAGCACCAGTTCCACATAGCGCGTCAGATTCAGGGCGGGCGCATAGGCACTGGCCAGCTCGGCAGGGGAACGCGGCTTGGCTAGCCCACCCAGTGGACGATTCCCCAGGCCGCTGACCATGCCCTTGCCCAACTGCAACTCCAAGTCCACGATTTCTCGCGCTGTTCTGCTCGCCAGCGACGCCTCCAAGCCCAAATGCTGCTCCAGCTGAGCGGCAACTTGACTTGGCTGCGGCTTCACCAGCGAACGAGGCGGCTGGCCCACATAGAGTCGAGCTATAGTCTTGTTCTGCGGATCGGGCGCCTGCTGCAATAGCAGTAAGATATCGAGTCCATATTTGCGCTTGATCTGCGCCACAGTGGCCAGCCAGTCAAAGTCGTCGGCTGGCCAGATCTGGCCCGGCAGCGCCAGCGCGGGCATGCGTCCGAATTCGGCGGCAATCTCCTGCAGCCGCTGGCGATAGAGCGGCAGTGGCGTCTGGCGGAAGCGCAGGCAGCTGGCATAGAATTGCTTCAGCTTCAGCGTGGGCAAATCGTCGATCTCCGGATCCGCAGGCTCCTGCAGGAGCCGCTGCTGCTTGTGCCGATAGCCGTTGGCCAGCAGCTGCTGGTAGTTGGTCTCGCGCGGCTGGGCCGCATTGGCCGGATTGATCTTGGGCCAATTGCCGCAGCTGTAGCCAAAGAAGTCCTCGCAGGCATCCAGCTCCGGCCGCATATAGCTGCGCATCTCCGCCGCCTTGGCCAGCCGCATCACGCGCTGCACGTAGGCGCTGTCGTTGTGCTGCGATATCGGCTGCTCCTGCAGCTGTATGTGTGTGTCCAGCTCGGGCTGCGACAGCAAGTGCCCCGTCGCACAGCTCAGCGCGAGCAGCGCAGCACCCAGCACACTGAACCACGCGCGTCTCATAGCTAAAGAGCAACTGAATCGCCTTCCGCCACGCACTTTCATCAGCCAGCCCCAGCCCCGTTCGGCGGCGTGAGCTTTTCCTTATCGCCTCCGACTGACTGACTGACTGGTCATTGGTCTGTATAAAAATATTGCCATAGTGAGGGCAGCGTGATTGGGTCACAGCTCACGTCGCGTCTCCACAGCCACTGTATGCCCATTAATTGCATTATGCCCAATGAATTCTAATAATATATGTAATATCCACTTGTGTGGCTCGCCTATTGTATTCTTGGGATTTCTAGCTGGCGAAAACTTTGAATTCGAATTGTTCAATTTGCAATAACAAATCAAATTTAACTGACAGTTACAGACTTAACTGGTAGTTAATTATTTTGTAAATATTTTGAACTGCTTGTTAAATCTTATACTTGACTTTTATTTCAGCAACTTGAATTGGAGTTGTTTGACATCTAACTGACAGTTACATCCTTAACTGGGGGTTCATTTCGTTAGATCAACAATTTAAATTGGAATTACTTAATTTTCAATACCAAATCAGATTGAATAGAAAAGACTTTAATTGGTATTTCATTTTGATATTCTGACTGCATTAAATGTATAAATCTATTTAAACTGTTAGTTAAGACATTAACTGCATGTTAAATCCTTTATCTTATAGTCAGTCTATCTACTTATATACCTATACATATGTATGCTCTCATCAACACTTGCTTTACATTTGCAACCACGATCAATTATCAAGCACAAGAAAACTTTTTTCCAGTGTGTGTGTCAAATTGATTGTTAGGCTTGACAAGCACATTATGCCATCCACTGAATCGCGAGGTCAAACTGTTTGTTAGCTTGCACAGCATCCAGTCTCACTAGGCATTCAACTCGTACGTCCAGTTTTCACAAGCGAATCTCAGTCTTATCGCGAGCTCTTTACATCACAAAAATATATACGAAATAATTATTGAACTGTTTTCAATAGAAACGCTATGATACTCTAAGACTCAACTGAGTTTTGAGTGATATTTCGCCTTCGATGAGCTATAGTAAAAGCTTTCTTGGACCATATGCTCAGGAAATTGGCGTGGGTACATTCAACAGAAAGTATTTATATATATATATATATATATATATATATATATATAGAGCTTGAAGATTTGCAAATTGTTTGGGCGACTGCTGTGTGATTTTGTATCTCAATTGCGTTCACTTCTGTAGTGGAAGAGATAACCCAAACGGGGTCGCATTAAAGCTCAGCTTACTCTGCTCTCATATCTGTGTATGTGTGTGTGTGAGTTTGTGGAATCGAGACTTTTAAAACGAAAAGCTGATGCGCTCAGTCAGCAATAGGAATTACAAGAAATAACAACGCGATGGGAAAGCTGCGGCTCCGCATAAATGATAATCTATGGCTAATGCTTTACGGATTACTGTTATTGCTACCGCATTTGATAGGCAGCAGCAAACTGGATATTGGCTATGTTGACGATGTGATGCAACAGGCAAAGGCAGCGGAAATCGCTAGCTTCATGAACGAGAGCGTCGATCCGTGCGAGAACTTTTATGAATTCGCCTGCGGCAATTGGGCGCGCATCAATCCGGCCACAACGTTGAATAAGATATCGACGGGACTGTTCGAGCGCCTGACAGATGGCCTCAATCGCAAGGTGAGGCGTATACTGAACAGCGAGAGCGATGAGGACGACACTGAGGAGGATGTGCAGGTGAGAAACTTCTACCGTTCCTGCGTGGCAGTGCGCGACGTGGACAGCCACTATCAGCAGAAGCTGAAGGATTTGATAGCCGAGTTCGGCAAGATGCCGGCACTGACTCCTGACTGGCAGGAAACGGAGTTTGATTGGCTAGAGACAGTGGGGCGCATAGCCTATCGCTACGCCATCCCCATCATACTGTCCGTTGAGGTGACCAAGGACTTTGCCAACAACGAGATCAACGTGGCCTACATTGGCCAGCAGGATTTCCCCCTGGAGACGCGCAGCATGTACCTGGACAACAATACAGCCATCTACAGACACAACTATCAGCACAATATGGCGAAAAAGCTTCAGAACTTCTTGGGCCTGCCACGGCAGAAGTCGGTCCAATTGGCCTCTGAACTGATGGACTTTGAGGTGGAGCTGGCACGCGGGCTGATCAATATGTCAGAGGGACTGCACCTGACCGACATCGCACAGCTGTCCACCATCGCTGAGATGCAGCAGAGCTATGGAGCTGTCCTGGACGTGGAGCGATTGGTCAATATATCGCTGGGCGAGCAGATCAAGGGCAATGTCTACGACTTCAATCCACAGTATCAGCAGAATTTGATGAACGTGATCAGTAGTACACCCAAGCGCGCTATAGCCAATTATATATTCTTTCGCTTGATCAATGAGTTCATCATGGAGCCGGGCAAGACGCTGGCCAAACGGCAGGAGAAGTGTATAACGCGGACCAAGCAACACTTCTCCAAGAATCTGGACAACATGATCTTTCGGCGTTACAACAACAACGACACGGCCGCCGACATTGACCTGATCTGGCACCAGCTGAAGTCCACCTTCGAGCAGACTCTGCAATCCGACGAGTCCCTCGACTGGATCAGCAGACAGACCCGCGAAACCGCCATCGAGAAGCTCGCGGCTATGAAGCTCGAGGTGAACTCGTATGCCAATGAAAACTTGACCGAGGATTTCGCTGGTCTGCGGCTGCAGAGGGAGGATTATGTGGAGAATGTACGCCAGACCCTTATACTGGCCTCCATGCAGAGTCGCGAGCAGCTGCACAAGCCCGTCAAGCCGCTGGATGCGGGCGATGTGCTCAGCTATACACCCGCCAACATTCTCGTGGAGAATGTCATCAAGGTGCCGGTGTCGCTGCTGCAGCCTTATTATCTGTGGGCCGCCAGCTATCCGAATGCCATCAAGTTCGGCACGCTGGGCGCCCTGATCGGTCACGAGCTGATCCACGGCTTCGATGACGCCGGGCGCAAGTTCGATGCACGCGGCAACATCAACGACTGGTGGGACGAGCAGTCGGCGGACAATTTCGAGACGAGGCAGCGCTGCTTTTCGGAGCAGTACAGAACGTACGTCTACCATGGCATCCGGCTGCCCAAAGCAAAGTCTCAGTCGGAGAACATTGCGGACAATGGAGGCCTGCGCTTGGCTTATGCCGCCTATCGCAATCTGCAAAGCGCCCTGGACGCCACCGTCGGCGGCAGGCGGCAGCTGCTCAAGGAGAAGCTGCCCACGCTGAACTACACCAACATGCAGCTGTTCTTCATCTCCTTTGCCCAGGTCTGGTGCAATGATGCGCACACAAGTACGCACAACCTGCAGATATCCGTGGATCAGCATGTGCCCGGCGAGCTGCGAGTCATCGGTACGCTCTCGAATTTCGAGGAGTTTGCCAAGGAGTTTCAATGTGCCGCCGGCACACGAATGAATCCCCTCAAGAAATGTAAAATATACTAAAACTAAACAAATGCTCGCATCCCTGTGATAAAAATTATAGACAATATATCATTTTTCATCCAATTAAAAGTCTTAAGAGAGAGCAGAGCGTATTGGTTTCGTGCCCGTACCTAACAAAATTAATATTGATTTGTATGCCCTTTGCATACTCGGCTTTATCAGAAATAACAGTTAAATCAAATTAGGGCAAGTTCGCCATCATTAGGCCATCTATCTATGGGCCAAGTTCGTTTGGCCATCGATGTAAAATATGATACCATTAAGATCTCCGTTTGAGATAAGTTATTTCAAGCACTGAGAGAGATATAGCATGAGTATTCACTTATGACGGGCTCTCTGTATTTAACTCTCCTCTTCATATCGCCCTCCCTCAAAGGATGACTCTATTTTCTATATAGGCATATATACATCAGAGTTCGTTAAATAATAATAAATATCATCTGCCACAAATAGCTAATAATTGCTTTAACAGAACTGATATAGACACTCGGCTATTCTAGTTCGTGCATTCCTAATATGCACTTGTGTCTGTGTGTGTGTGTGTACAGACTACCTAAAGACACATACATACGCACATATGTATGTATGGAAATGCAAAACCAATTATTTAGGTATTCCACCTCTTGCACACTGCCGTTTGTGGGTCGTAAGAAAGGTCGGTTGGGGCAATCTATTTATGTGCATTATGCGCTTGCACTTGGCTTTGACCGTGATTGTTAATGGCATTGAAACGGATCGATAAATGAGCAACAGCCGTGCCGTATGGGTAGGTGGGAGGGCGGTGCGGGTGGCCGTGGCAGCGGCAGCGGCGAGTCGAACACTTACCGTGCGTCAGTATGTTGATGGTCTCGTTGTGCCAATAGAAGAGACTGAGCAGGCAGCCCTTGAAGGTCTGCAGCGGACGGTATCCTTTGAGGACATACGGATTGAATTGCAGATATTTGGGCATGTCCTGCCAATGCAGCAGCTGATCCATGTTAGCCGATGCCATCGTTGTCTTGCTGCTGCTGCTGCTGCTGCTGTTGCTGTTGCTGTTGCCGTTGCCGTTGCTGCTGCCTGTTGCTAGTGTGGTCGTTGTGGCTGTTGTCGTCGCACTCGATATTCCGCCGGATGCTGTTGTAGTTGTTGCTGCTGCTGCTGTTGCTGTTGCTATTATTGTTCCTGCTGTTGTGGCTGTTGGTGGTGCTGTTGTTGTTGCTGTTGATGGTGCTGTAAGCAAGGCAGACATTGGCGTTGTGGAAGCGTTCGTGGAAGACGTTAATGATGTGGTATTCAATGAGGCCAGTGCTGCAGCTAGATTCTCCCCATGTCCAACCTCGCCGCCGGCCAGATCCTTCAGGCCGTTCATGACCATCCCATGTGTCGCATATGGCTCGCCACTGCCATCGGCTAGGCCGACCTCATGACCGATGCCGCGAATGCGCGCCGGCGTTGTCGGCGGCGAGGCGGACATTGACTCGACGGTGCTGCCCAGGCAATTGGCAATATCGTGCTCACAGCTCACGTTGCATGGAGCTGTCGTAGCGTTGGCAACAACAACTGCGGGCACGTAGCTGGGCGCCGGCTTAATTTTGGGCTTGCTGATGAGCGTGCTGGCAGAAGACTTGCTGACCGGCTCGGCGCTCAGATCAACAACGACGGCAGCAGCGGCGGCGGCAGCAGTGTCCATGCCTCGAGTATAAGCGCGTTCAATAGCCGGTTCTAAAAAATTGGCGGCAACAGCAACTGAAATCAAAAGTTCACGTCATGAATTATAAACTAGGACGCAGTGCTATAAAAATGCTTCACATAAAACTCACACAATTCCCTCTTTCATGCCCCCTCTCACTCACTACATATCTCTGTCTCTCTACCTCCTCACAATAACACCCTCACACACACACCCACACACACAATCAAGCAGAGAAGCGTGCGCGCACACACAATCGGCCTTTTATGTGTTACGTATACGCCTCGATGTCCTGTGCCAAAAAAGCACGTGCTTACGTATGAAAAAGAGACCAGGACAATGTCAACACACACAGGCCCAGCTGCCTCGTGACCCAAAAATGGATTTGCGGCCCATATGTATGTACACATGTGCATGCACATGCATAGAGTGCACTTTCTTCTTCTTCTTCTACTCCATTTTTTTGCAGACACGGACTATTTTGTTAGGTGGCCGAAAGTGAATATTTATTGTGAATCACGCGACTTGCAGGCTTCTGTCTGTTTAGTAAAAATCGATAGGCTATACTTACATCTGGCATGCGCCTCGTCCAAAAATTAAATGTTAATTTTGTTCAATGCAGTTTAATGGCAACAAAATGGCCAATAAGCGCAACACAATTCTGCCTGCATTCAGACCGCAATGCAACTGCTGCAGAAACTTCTTTTGGAAGCAAATAGGCGGGGCGCGGGTGGGTGTGAACACGTTTTGGATAACTCTTGGTATAGCTGCTGTTATGAGCTTTGACTAAGTAGGTGGCTAAAACAGCGTTGATATGGGCGCGGCATACCGCTGGGCAGACACTCGTTTAATTATGCTGCCATTAGATGCGCCCTAATGTTGATTTCTTCGTGAATTTTTAATAGTCTAATTTTTGTGTATAGTTGTTTTTTTTTTTTTTTTTTTTTTTTGATTTCGTTGCGGACACGGAAAATACTACAAGGCGGGAGCAGGCTTCGCAGCGCACGTTGGCGTAAGCACGTCAATATCTGACTGAGGACGATAACGATACCGTTATGGTTTGTATTGTTATGCAATTGAATTGCCAGTATTTTCTTTGGGCGCCAACAAGAAAAAACGAGAGCGCGCGCGCATTGCACGACAGCTGATTAATTTAAAATCTTCTATAGTGGCAACGCCGGCCGTTTGTTTTTCAGCACTGGTTCATGTAACTGCTGTCAACGCAGTGGTGGCAACGCTAACGCTCTAGACATTGAGCAGGTCAGCTGCTGACGCGCTTGGCTTGGTTGTAATTCAATTTCAAAACATATTAATTACAGTAGACTTTGCTTTTCTTATTGTCAAAAAGTGTAGGTTTTCAATCGAAAGTTTTCCTATACTTCAAGCTTCTGTGAAAAAATAAAAAGCTACCTAACTTGGGCGGCCTCAACGGAATAGAAAAGAATAGCGCCAAATATTACAATAACAAATCAGACGCAACCTAAAAAGGGTACAAGTGCAATTTTTGATTTATATACATATGTGGGAAGTTGTATACTAATGTCCTCAAGCATCGTCGAAAAAGCAGCTCAAACTTGGCAATTACTCAATCAAGTAATTGGTTTCTGGTGGAATCGTTTATATCTGCCTAGATCGCCGTTTCTAGCTATAATGCCGCCATCGCGAGTAGAAAACTCAGAAATAGTTGAAGAAGAGGAAGAGGTAAGATAATGATAACATAAAAAAATTTTCTTTCACAAACAAACACCCATATCAATGTGTATGTGAACTGCTGCCGCTACCTGCTAGCGCTAACTCGAACGATATCCGAGGCATAAGCAAAAAGAACCAATATGGACAAGCGACAGCGAGCGGCTGATTTGCAATGCGCGCTGAGAACTCAGCTGCTGTGGTGCTGCCACACTTTAAAATGAATTGGGCGACTATCATAGTTTATAGAAATGGCTAGAAAAATAAGTTCGTAGGAAAGATCTAATAGAAAAAGGACATTTAAATAATGACCGCCAGAAGTTAGAAATACCAGAATCTGTATTTTACTATTGTTGTATTTAATACGCGCGAGTTGGCAGTTCCATGCATTTAGTACGCAAAGATGGCAGCTCTCAGCAGACGTGGTGAATTTAATGAAAGTGACATGAAATATGTGTAGAAAAAACACGATTTTCATAAAAAGAAAATCATATTTATAAAGTGATAAGCGTGTTTCTGTACCTAGGTTAGGGTCTAAAACACCAAAAGAGTCTGTGAGTTTGGTGCTGCAGTTAACATATGCCTGCCAAAAGTGGCCAGATAGCAAAACAGGCAGCTGCGTAAATTCGACAGACGCTTTGCAAAGCGGCCAACAACAACACAAGACAATACACACAAAAATCAATTTTCGCGCTGATTTTGGATTTAGCTGCAACAGCAAAACAAGTTTAGCGTGCTCCATTAACAAAAAGCAACGAAATATCAAGCGTTAAAGGTATGCTATGCCTTACCCCCAAACCCTCTTGCCCAAAGTACAGGCAAGAATGAAGCCCCCTACACACACACAAACGAAGCACACACACACATCTACTCGCGCATCGGCATTGTAAATGGAAGACATACTCACACACACACTGGCACTTGCGTTTGCCTTTGGTTTGACCAAATGTAAAATAGTATGCTTTGCCGTGCTGCGCCCGAGCTGCGTTTGTGACGTAGGCACAATGCTCGTGTATTTAAAACACTATGCACATGTGAATAACACTATATGTATATTTATATATTGCTTGATTTTTTCACTTCACTTCACAGATGCCACGAACTAGAAGACGCCATCACTCGAGGGATCGCTCCTCAGCCGGCACACGAGAGAAACGTAGACGGCTTGATACTGGCGATCTGTCGCCACCCTTAGCTGAAGCACCGTCGCCGTAAGTTGCATATTTCTACTCAAAATGTATTTATATAGAGTATATATGTATGTATGTCACCAAGGGCAAATATTGCTCGATGAGTAGCAGCCATATGCTTAGCCAAAAACTCAAAAATTAGTCATTTCGCTTACATTTATTTTATGCATTATATTTTGTTCTTTATAATTAGTCCGCGGCTAACCAAGACGCATCACACCAGGTCGGCAGCCAAGCGACGGAGGCATGAACTTGATGCAAATTCATCTCATATATCCAAGGAACCAACGTAAGTAGCTCAGATATGCAGTAAATTAAACTAGTTGTATTTAGTTTGTATGATTCTGAAAATAGCCTGTAAGCTGTGAATTTAACTTAAATTTATTTTAGATCAGAAATTAGTTGTTCACCTATTTTCTTAATTTTTTAAGGGGTTTCTTTAGTAGAGGCCAATGGTTTCTTTATACAACTAA